CTAATACCTTATATTTTAATCTCTGATGCTTTCTGTTTTTGGGACATTAGAAAGACTAGATTTCACTTTGTTCCATCAGGTGAAGAAATGTGAAGACCATGTGACTGTCTTGGTAATTGACAGCAGGAGTGAAGTTTGTTATAATCGCATGGGGATACCCATAATTCCTGCTTTTGCCAAAACGCATAATCTACCCTACAGACCAAAAACACTACACCTGACTCAAGGACCACAAGGATATGGGTTCCTCCTAAGGCAAGAGAAGTTACGATCTGGACGTATTGGTGAGAAATCACTGATTCTTTACCAGTGTTATTATTATTATTATTATTATTATTATTATCTAAAATTAAAACTATTAAAACATTTTTGTTCATTGAAAGCTAATATATAATAAATATTAGATGGAAAACTGTCTGTATTAGATGAGATGCTGTCTTGGCAACTAACTGAAATAAGTTTAAATTGCAACATTAAATTAAAGGGATAGTTCACCCAAAAATGAAAATTTGTTGTTTATCTGCTTACCCCCAGGGCATCCAAGATGTAGGTGACTTTGTTTCTTCAGTAGAACACAAACAAAGATTTTTAACACAAACCATTGCGGTCTGTCAGTCTTATAATGGAGGTGAATGGGAATCACGGCTAAAACATACAATAAAACTAAACAAAAACATACACAAACAAAACCAAATTAAACCCTGCGGCTCATGACGATACATTGATGTGTAAAGACACGAAACGATCAGTCTGTGCAAGAAACTGAACAGTATTTATATTGTTTTTTTTACCTCTGATTCAAGCAAAGTTCGTACGGTCCTGAGTGGTGGCGCCTTCTTCTTCTTCTTGCTTTGTAAAGACACAAAACGATCGGTCTGTGCAAGAAACTGAATATTATTTGTATAGTTTTTTTACCTCTGATTCACGCAATGTCCGAACTGTTCGAACTGTCCTGAGCGCGTTCTCAACAGCAGGCGCGTGAGGCGTCTTCTTCTTCTTCTTCTTGCTTTACTGCGATCGCAGACTTATAAGTGCATTACCGCCACCTGTCTCTCAAGTGGACCATTGACACTCCTAATTGAGATTGTAGATAGAGTGTCAATGGTCCATTTGTTTGTTTTATTGTATGTTTTAGCCGTGATTCCCATTCACCTCCATTATAAGACTGACAGACTGCAACGAGATTGTAGATAGAGTGTCAATGTTTTTTTTGTTTGTTTTATTGTATGTTTTAGCCGTGATTCCCATTCACCTCCATTATAAGACTGACAGACTGCAACGGTTTGTGTTAAAAATCTTCGTTTGTGTTCTACTGAAGAAACAAAGTCACCTACATCTTGGATGCCCTGGGGGTAAGCAGATAATCATAAAATTTTCATTTTTGGGTGAACTATCCCTTTAACTGGAAATAAATAAAAAATAAACCTAAACAAAAACTAAAACCAAAATAAAAATAAAAATGTAGCTTAAACAGTAATATTAAAAATAAAACTACTAAAAATTACAAAAAACATTTAACACAAATAAATATCATAAAAAGAAAAATCAAAAAAGAAGAAAAAAAAGGAAAACTAGAATATAAAAATAAAAGCTATTTCAAAATATTATAAACTAAATATAAAAACTATAATAGCATAAAAATAATACTAAAATAATATCGTTCTTTAGTGCAGGGGTTTCTCTGAGAAAACTGTTAAATATAAATAAGTATTCAATATAAATAAAAATATAATATAATATTTTAAATATATATGTTTTATTTAGTATAAATAAAAATGAACAATATAAATGGTATAAGCATTTAATATTATTGTTAAATATAAATATAATAATAAATGTTAAATAAAATATATAGTATTAAATAATTTAATGACTAATTAATAATATATATTTAATTAATATTTACATAAAATAATAGTGAAATATCATTACAAAGACTGGTTGGTACTAATCACATGATTACCATTCTATTGATTCTATTGATAGCTTTTATGTTTCTCTTATTACTTTAATGGTATGTAGAATACATTTCCAGAAAATATTTTACACATTTTATTTTTTATTTATATACAGTATAAATATTTTCCATAGTATAAATAGGTCTTTTTATAAAATATAAATGGGTCTTTATTTAAAATATAAATAAAAAGTAATATAAAATACAAAATATATAGCTGCCTACATTTTAGGAAGAGTGTCCCTCGCAAAGGGATTATCATATATGGGGGTCCATGGCATCACGCATTTTTGTAAATGCTTTTAGATGTGCCACTAATTAGAAAACACTGTAGACATTTTAGCAGCCATCACTTTGTGATATGTTCGCTCTATAGCTCATGTATTACGAGAGATCGACCCCTGCAGCCCAGCTGAGACTGCAGGAATGGAGGACGGAGAGCTTGTGCTAGCGGTAAACGGGGAGCAGGTGGAGGATGCAGAGCATGAGGCCGTCGTCAGCAAAATACGGCAAAGCGGCCAGCAGGTCACCCTAACCACCATCTCCGTCCCTGGCAGAGACTATTACACACAGGTGCTTGCATGCACACGCTTTCACACACAAATGCTCATACAGAAAAGAGGAGCGATAACATTCAGCTTGCGAACAGCTGCTAAATCAACATATTTTCCCTCTGACTGAAGACATTTGACCCTGAGGGCTAACCAAGGGCCTAATCTCAGGCTCCTAATTCTTATAGTACACACCAAAACAGGTGTTTTTAAAATGAAATGAATCTACTGTTTGGAGTAGACATTGGACCCCTGGGAATGGGTGGGGTCGCTGTGACCTAGATAACATAGGGAATCACTATTCTTGTTGTATTTGCTTGGATTTATCACTGAGAGAGTGTCTGTTATTTGATCCACTTCAGCTGGGCATTTCTCCATTGCTGTTCTATGAAGACCATACTCCAAAAAGGGAACAGTTTCCTAATCCTCCTCCGCCACATCAGGAGGTACACCAAAATCCACCGCATCCTCGACTTTGTGTGCTTCACAAGGAGGGTGCGGGATTTGGCTTCAACCTAGGCTGTGTTCAGAATAAGCCTGGGACCTATATCGGTCAGGTACTGTAAGCATTTATATTTAAAAAGCATCTGCTAAATGCTTTAAATGTACATTTAAATGGAATAGAGTGCAGCAGTGATGACATTTTTTGTAGGCCACCCCAGAATTTAGAATCATCTAGGTTCCTTCTACAAAAGCCCAAAGGATTTTTCCATTGGCTTTTGGATTATTGCAGAAAATAATCTCTGTGACCAACAAAAGTCTATAATTCTAACACTGAATATCTTCACGAATTAGGAATTTTGAAGCCTGAATACAATCACACCAGAATTAAAAAGGTAAATGCAGGTTATAAACAAACATGGTCACATGACGACAGTGTCACAACCATTGCGTTTTCGACTGCTCTTTCTGTCTTTATTTAAAATACATTTTCTCTGAAACTTCAGGTGAAAATTATTTGCAAGAGGGTGATTATAAAAACAACAAGGCTGTAAAAGCTGACTAGTATGTAGATGACTTCTCCTGTTTGGCATGATGACGTTTAATGTCTCTGACAGTCCTATTTAAAATCTGTTAACCACACAAACAAAAACCCATTAAAAAACAGAAGCAGAAGTGCCAAAATGCTAACTTGCTTCTGGATTTTAGCCTACAAGAACATCCCTTCAAGCACTCTATTGCAAAAATGACTGTTTTCACACAAGTCTCCTTGAACACGCCCTCATCTGCCATTGGTCGTACAAATAATAGTCCTGCCCCCAAACTCATGCCATTGGTTAACTGATGCTGGGTTGGTATACTCAAACAGAATAATATTTTGATAGCATCACAGTGCTTATATTTTGTGGGTAAATAACTTGTTTTTTTAAATAAGTTGAAAATAGGAATATTAATAATATATTTATCTTTGCATTTTTAAAAGATATACAATTTTAGAATTAACAGAAAAAATAACAGACTATTGATTTAAAAATGTAATTCTCCTTCTGGTCTGTAGGTGATGATGGGGAGTGCAGGAGAGCGAGCAGGGTTGTGTGAGAGAGATGTGGTTGTAGAGGTGAATGGACAGAATGTGGAGGAAGAGTATTTTGATGAAGTGGTGAGGTTGATAAAAGAGGGAGGAACTCCTCTCAGTCTGCTAGTCATGGAGGGACTGGGATATGAGAAACTGAGAAACGCCAGACAGCCTGTAAGTTCAGGACTCAGTCTTTGCAGTAACAAATTGAGACTTGCTCACACACATACATGCATTTTGTAATTTCAGGATTATTTTAAAGATTTAAATATTGTCTTTCAGGTTCCAGATGCTTCACAAGATGATTTTGTATGAATTAATATAGTCAGGTAAAACATTTAGTTAATTTATTAATTTAACATATACTGTAAAATGATAATTAATTTTTTTAATTTAAAATAAAACTGCATACCAGTAAACCCTCCTCTCTGCCAGAGATCACAAATACAGTCTATGTGGCTAAAAACTATCATTTAAACTACTTTGTAAACAGTTATAAAGATTCTTGTATATCTTGCAGAAATATTGACAAAAGGGTAAACATGCTTTTCTTGTCAGTAACCACATTTATTATAGAATCGGTGTCATTATTTAATGCAACCAAAACACTTTTGAGTACAAATGTAATAAAAAAAACAATTTGAGTACAAATGTAATATAAAGATTATGGAGACTGGAGTATGTGTACAATCAGGTTTAAAGTGATTTATATTGTTGTATGGCTGTAAAGTATGAAAGCATATTAAAACCTTAAAATCCTAATCTTAAAATTTGTTTACACCACATCCTGGAAAACTGTATGTAGAGGTGTGATTTCATGTTAATATATGTTTATCCAAGTTTTATTTTGAAAATATTCTGTCAGATGTGTAGCATGAGTGAATTTATTCACCTTTTTGTTGCAAGTATTTATAACTGAATTCTGAATATAAACAGATATATATTCAAGAATGCAAATCACATGAAAATTATTAAAATTAATTTAAGAATGTTTGCTCTATGCACTACATTGAAAATTATTTTTATGTTTTTAAACCTCAACTTCCGCAGTCCTCTTTTTGATGGGTATGCTCCAGTTCTGTAAGTTCAAAGACAAACTCAATTTCTCACTTAATTATTATTTTAAACAAAATGAAAATAAGTCAGATTAATCAGTTTCCACATGCTGAATTAACTGTTAACTTACTACCAACCTCTGAGAATTTGGTCAATGCATGTACAGACTCTCTCAGCATCCTCAATACTGAAGCACATTGGAGGTTTGAATTTGATGACACTGTCCCACGGTCCATCAGTGCTCATAACTATACGTTCCTCTTTCAGCCTGAACAAATCAAAATGGGCAGTTGGTTAGCAGGTAGTTGTAGCTAGTTGAGAAAGAAGAGAAATGGTCAGTACCTTCGTACAAGATGTGCTGCTTCTTCTGTTGCTGGTTTTCTGGACGCTCTGTCTTTAACTAGCTCCATACCTATAAACAGTCCAACACCACTGCAAAAAAGAACAGAAGATATGTCTGCTAATGTTCTTCTTTGAGATTACAGCATGATGTTACAATAGTATTTTACAAGATCTCAATAAAGATTGATTTTCAGAACTTACCGCACATCTCCGATGAGTGGATGTTTAGTCTGAAGTTGAAGGAGCAGCTGTTTAAGATGACCTCCGACACGCACAGCATTGCCTCTGAGGTCTTCTTTCTCTATAACATCCAACACTGCCAGACCAATGGCACAGGATACTGGGTTACCACCAAACTGCATGGGACAAAAAGGTTAAATATTTACTTAAACTCTTCAAAGATGTACAAGCTACATATATTATCACAGAAGCATTATGGTTCTCACTGTGTTGAAGTACTCCACACCATTGGCTGTAAAAGCAGTGGCTATTTCCTCTGTAGTAGCCACACAAGCAATAGGATGACCATTGCCTATTGGTTTGCCCATAGTCACAATGTCAGGGCAGAAGTCTTCACCTTGAAGCTGAAAAGCCCAGAAATGACTCCCAACACGACCGAAGCCTGTCTGAATCTCATCTGCCACATAAATTCCTCCTGCTTCACGAACGTATCTGAGGGGAAAAATACAATGCTGTGTGTCGCTTAATTCCTGAATAAAGAGTAAAGACACTCAACAAAAATGACAAGGAGACTTACTCTGCTACTCTTTTACAATAACCAGTTGGGAAAATGATCTGGCCACCAACACTGGGTAAAGACTCGGCAAAAAAAGATGAAATCTACAGACAAAATTAAAGGGGTCAAATGATGCGACTTAAATTTTTAATTTCTCTTTGGAGTGTTACAAGCTCTTGGTGCATAAAGAAGATCTGTAAAGTTGCAAAGACTAAAGTCTTAAATCCAAAGAGATATTCTTTATAAAAGTTAAGAGTCAACCACGCCTACCTAAAACGGCTCGTTCTAACACACCCCCACATGTCTACGTCACGATGTGGGAAGATTTGAATAACGCCACCCAAATGTTCACGCAAAGAAAGAAGGTGTAACTTTGATTCTCGCTGTAGTATTGTTGTTGCCGCCGCCATGTCGTGTGTTTCGTTGTGAAAGTGAAACTACTTTTTTTGACCTTCCAAAAGAGGACATTATCCGCTTCTTCATGCCTGGAGCTGATCCGTGCTGGTCGCTGAGGAAATACATCAACTTTGCGCTGTGGATCACCGGCACATTTTATGGAGGACTGTTTAACGGCGCAATGCAACGCAACGTGTAAAAAGACAGTATAAGTCATTATAATCCATAATTATGTCCCCACTGGATGCAACAAATGCCTCGTTTAAAAATCGACGCGTTTCAGAAAAGCGGGGCATAGAGGAGAAACAATAATGTACAGTATGTGGAAAATAATGTGTTTTTTTTTAAACCTTAAACCGCATAAACACATTTCATTACACCAAATACACAAAATAATGTTCTTTTTAGCAACATCATATGACCCCTTTAAATGGATCATTCACCCAAAAATGTACATTCTGTCAGTACAATGAAAGTCAATGGGGTCCAAATCAACACTGGTCACCATTGACTTTTACCTCATGGACAAAAATATTGAGACATATCATCTTTTGTGTTTCACACAAGAAAGAAAGTCATACAGATCTAGAATGACATGATGAGAGTGAGTATTTTGGGTGAACTATCCCTTTAAGAAGGACAATCAGTATATTTTAGTAAAAAACATTTAACAACTTTGCTTTTCCTACCATACCTTGCGGCCTTTCTTATGCGCCTCGTCAATAAGACTTTTCATAGTGTCTGCATAAGCCTGTCCTGGGTCAGGATGATCTTCTCGGTAGATACCGTGGTAAGTATCAGGAAGAGGTGCCTGTATTTAAGCAAGAATGAATGGTATGTAGCAAAGAGTCATAATTATTGGTTTAAAAGTTGTTTCTATGTCCTGTACACACCACATGCACCCACTCTTTTTGGCCCCCCAGTTTCCGGAACTTGTAAGGGCTGATGTCGATGAGTGAGGTGAGATGTCCATGATATGCACTGGAGAGGCAAGTAAAGATGACACAAAAATAAGTCTAATGTAGCTCTTTTTTTCATTATCAACTGATATAAGAAACACAACAGTTCACAATTTCACATTTAAAAAGTTAGGTAAACCTTACTGATCTAGCACAATGACATCCTGATGTCGGGTATACTGACGGGCCAGTCTCAAGGCAAGATCATTAGCCTCTGATCTTCGGAAGAAGACAAAAATCCAAATAAGATTTTGTAGAATAATTACAGGTTGTGTTATTGATCATGTATGGTATGCATATATTGCAATTTTTACAATCTGCTTAATAAAAACATTGTAAAAAAAAAAAAAAGATTTTGTAGAATATTTCTTTTAATCTGTATATGTGAGTTTAATCTGTGAGTTACTTACCCCGAGTTGACAAAATAAAAGACGCAAAGTTTCTTTGGCAGAGTGGCGGCCAGCCGATCTGCATACAGAACTATATTATCATGGAGGAATCTAGTGTTTGAATTAAGAAGATCCATCTGAGCAGCAGCGGCCTGAGTGAGGCTGGGGTGACAGTGTCCCACTGCAAAGACAAAATGTATCAAGTATGCCATCATGATACTTGATACTTCCTCGAAGTGCTCTGTAAAGCCTATTTGAAATTCAGTGGGATGATGATGATAAGAGTTGATTACATTTCTAAAAGCATACATGTTACGAAAATGTATCATGGTTTTACTACAGTAACATTAACTACGGTATGCAGGCAGAAATGTTGTAAATCTGTTAGGGGATATAATTTACAGTTTTATGCAAAAGTTATCAGGGCAACCCTGATAATTATCATAATTTCAATTTCTAATCTCTTTTGAGGTCCCCATGTTGCTACTTTCCCCAAAGAGATCAAGGAGAAGCACAACTAGCAATCAGCTACCTTAAATATCCTTTTTCATGATTAGCTGTGCACCTGTGTTTGGTTCATTGAATCAATCAGCATTAAGTGACTATAGATATTTAAATCCTTACAACTGAGAAGGTGCCCAACCTTATTTCACACAATGCAATACTGCTACACTAAGAATTTCTGTCTGAAAAACATAACATTATCCAGCTTTCTCTAGAAACTGAATAGCATATCACTACGATCTTGTCTTATAAAGAAAGAGCACATTATTATGCAGCCTCAGAGGGGTGCCCAAACTTTTGCATAAAACTGTATTTGCATTGTAAACACATCAGATAATTATTTCTTCATAATTTCTAGATGTGTTTAGACTACTATTTTAAATGCACAACACCATTCAAAGGTTTGGGGTCTGTAAGAAAGAAATGAATACTTTTATCGAGGAAGGATGCATGAAATTGATCAAAAGTGACAGTAAGACATTAAAGGGGTCATATGATGCTGCTAAAAATAACATAATTTGGTGTATTTGGTATAATGAAATGTGTTTATGCGGTTTAAGGTTCAAAAAACATTATTTTCCACATACTGTACATTATTGTTTCTCCTCTATGCCCCGCCTTTCTGAAACGCGTCGATTTTTACAAAGCTCATCGGTCTGAAAAAGCGTAGGTGTGGTTGACTCTTAACTTTTATAAAGAATATCTCTGGATTTGAGACTTTAGTCTTTGCAACTTTACAGATCTTCTTTATGCACCAAGAGCTTGTAACACTCCAAAGAGAAGGGAAAAATTGAAATCGCATCATATGACCCCTTTAATCATTTTCAAATTTCAAACAATCAGATTTGAAATAAATTGCTGTTCTTTTGAACATTCTATTCTTCAAAGAATCCTGTAAAAATATATAATGATTTCCACAAAAATATTAAGCAGAACACCTGATTTCAACATAATAAGTTGAAATATTTCTTGAGCACCAGATTTATAGAATGATTATAGAATGATTTCTGAAGGATCATGTGACACTGGAGTAATGGCTGCCGAAGATTCAGCTTTGTATCACAGGATTAAATGAAATTTTAAAAGATGAAAATAGAAAACATTTATTTTAAATTGTAATAATATTTCTCCATATTATTGTTTTACAGTATTTCTGATTCAATAATCGCAGCCCTGGTGATCATAAGAGACTTTTAGAAGAGAACATTAAAAAATCTGACAGACTGTGATTTTTCATTTCATATAAATTAGCAAGGATGTAACTTAAAAAAACCAAAAACAAATTATATATATATATATATATATATACACACTTATGACACTTTTATATAATAATGTGAAACTGTTAAATATATGTCCCTATATACTGCAGCATGCATGTCAAAATGTCCTTACCATGTTGAACATTACTAATGCAATCTAAGTACTGCATGCCATTCTCATCATATAAATATTGACCCCGTGCTCTCACTATTTTCACGGGATCACGGGAAAAAAAGAGTCTGCAGGACTGCCTGAAAATACAACAGAAAGAGTATTTAGTCTGAACAACGGTTTAATAGCGTGCATTTATCAAATCAAAAACAACACCAGGCCTTATAAAAGCGCGACGTGTAATATTTGATCCAACTTACCCAATCAGCTTCCTGCGCATTTGCAAAGTCTCATCTTTATGAAAAACTTCCAGAGCCATTCCAACGATACGGTTTTGTCGTCTGCTACACCTGACTGTTTACAGCCTAGATACCTGACAAGACTTTGAACTGCAGAAAAGAAAAAAAAAGAAACATTAAAAGAAACAGCCGACAATGTCTCGTCCCTTGCTGATGACGTCACGTAGAGCGTCCATTCTGGATCTGTTGGACTGAACCACATCGGATTTCCCACATTTCAACGCGAAACCTGGTATGGCATGCATCTACGTTGATATATTTCAATGTACTTCTTCTATTTAATGTATTATTTTCTTTACGTTGCCTTGAGTTGCTGTGTTTTATGAACATTACCAGCCTGCTGTCAGTTACTATGCGTGTTGCTAGTAACTCAGCTAGCTTAAGACACCTGACAACTAGCAAGGAGATCTGTCAGTGCCTTTGACAGCTATAAAGCTCATGTTTATCTAGGTTTACATTCATTGCACATCTTTTGAGACCTCTTAGTGTCTGTCTGTTGTAGTCTGATTCACTGATGCGATTAATATGACACGTATGTGTAGCAAGTTAGCATACTTGACACTAATTTGCAGTCATGCTGGTTATTGTGAGGTCACTATTGATCTGTGTTGTGCTTTCCTGTTGCTTGAATATGACTCCAAGGTGAATTAATCAATTCATATTCATTAATGACTCATCAGAAGAGTAAATAAATCGTTATAGTGAGTCATCTTGCACTTAAATGCACAGTGTTTTTTTTTTCTCAGATGGACTTTATGGTTTACCTAGATGGATCTCGGCTGGTTTTGGGACTTGGATTATATGCTAGCTCTATTTCCCACTTTTTTACCTACAGGTTGTGAAAACACATGTTGATGGAGGACGTGCTCCAGGGAAATGACAGACCAGGGCAATAACAATCAGAACATCTCACAAAACCCCTTCGCAGCTCTCTTCAGTTCCCTCGCTGACGCAAAGCAGTTTGCATCTGGCCAAAAGCAACGGCGTCAAGCTGAGCAACAATGTAAGGTCTTGGTAATAAGCAGCGCTCTACTTGCAGGATAGCATTAATTTAATGGCACTTTGTAATTGTTTTTCTCTACAGCTGTAGATTCAGGAGAGAGCCAGTCTGAGTCAGACAACTCTGTGTCTGACAGCATCGATGACAATGATGACTCGGTGGCTGAGATCAGCCGATCTTTCCGCTCACGACAGGAGCTCTGTGAGCAGCTCAACGTCAACCACATGATCCAGAGGATTTTCCTCATCACTCTGGACAACAGTGAGTGTTTAACACCTACTGGTTCTGAGAACTGTCTGTTTACTGACTGTGAATGGTTTTAACTCAAAACATATAATTTCTTATATGATCAATGAACATAAATATACACTGCCTTTCAAAAGTTTGGAGTCGGTAAGATGTTTTTAAATATTTTGAAAGAAGTCTCTTATGCTCATCAAATTTGCTCTTATTTGATCAGAATACAGTTAAACAGTAATACTGTCAAATAGTATTACAGTTTGAAATAACTATTCAAATAACTTCTATTTGAATATATTTTAAAATGTATTTTATTCCTGTGATGGCAAAGCTGAATTTTCAGCAGCCAATACTTACATCACATGATCCTTCATAATTCATTCTAATAAACTGATTTGATGCTCAAGAAATATTTCTTATTATTATCAATGCTGAAAGTAATATGTGAATGAAAATATATTTGTGAAACCGTGGTAAAGAGCGATATTTGAAATAACAATCTATTGTAAAATTATAATTGTCTTTACTGTCATTCTGTCACTCTTCTGTCACTAACACATGCAGCAAACACAAATATTGTATTAATTATACTTCTAAGAAATGCACAACATATAAATAAGAGTTCAGTGGAGCTAAGAACAGCATTTAACATAGTATGACTTTGTTTCTTTTATCCTACTTAGTTTTGCATCTGCCTAATTTAGCTAGCTTTTCATATTAGTTTATATTGGTTTCATATGACTGGATGCAAAACATTTTCTCCTTCCTTTTAAAAATCTTTTTTTTTTATTAATGCTGGCAAGATGGGGTTTTAACAAAAGCTGGCTGTCCATGCAAAATAAACATGATTTTTTTTTTCAGTGCTACATGTTTAGAGAAAAAAATGTAGGAAAATGTCAACACCCATACTGCACTGGGCTTAATTAGACTATCTGTGGACGGGGATAAAAAAAAAAAGCTAAAGTACGGTCTGTAGTTTTCACAGACAGCTGAAGTCTTTTGCAGAGAAATAAATGGGGATATCTTGGTGCAGGTATCACAGAAAAATTTTAAATTGTTCATTTACTTATACTACCACTTTTTACACTGTAAAAGTACAAAGCTGGTTGATAATCAGCAAACTTACCTTTTAAGTTGTGCAATTAGTTGCATTTAGCATTGTTTCCCCTGCTGTCCATAACCCTAGCAGAAGAGACTTGACACATTTTTGGGTATGATAACCCACCAGCTGAGAACTTTTTTGAGATACTTTTTTCCATAATGAATCCATTTCATGTGTATGCAGAAGTGTACTTCTGGATAGTTTGAAAAGAAATGAATATTAGATTGTAGATGACAGATGTCTCGCTGATCTCAGTTTAGGTGATCCTATCACGATGACATGCATTTTCCAGGCAGTGCTGCAGATGACCTCATCCACTGCAGTTTGGCCCATTACGTCAATTTTGTTTCTCTCATTTGTGTCTTTATCTTTATCCTCCACATCGATCTACTGTCCATCCCACTGGTCTGCCATTCAAATCTTTATCACAGTTTGCATCAGTTGTGCTAAAAGGAAGGTTTTGAAAATGTGATATCTGAGCCCCCTGTCTGTGGCCCTAAATTCTAAACTACTTTTCAAAAGTTAGAGGACAGTAAGGTAGAAAATGCTATTATTCAGCAAGGACGTATGAAAGTGATCAAAAGTGGCAGTAAGGACATTTATAATGTTACAAAAGATTTCCATTCCATTACAAGTTTCTATTGATCAAAGAATCCTGAAAAAAGTGTCACGGTTTCCAACAAAAATAATGAAGGGAAAGTTCACCCAAAATGAAAAATCTGTCATTATTTACTCAGCCTCATGTTGCTCCAAATCTGTATGACTTTCTTTCTTCTGCGGAATACAAAAGACTAACTGTTTTGCTTTTGGCTACTATCCTCCTGACTACCAGGAAAAAACAGGTTTGTGAATTTAGTATTTTGTCATGTCATTACATTGTTTAGAGCAGGGGTAGGCAAGTTCGGTCCTAGAGAGCCGCAGTCCTGCGGAGTGCAGCTCCAACTTTAGAGCATAAGAAAAATTTTGAAAAATAAAATTTTTGGAAAATGATATTTTATTCATATGTTATGCCATGTCCTCTGTAGAGGACATCGGGACTTTAAAAAGTCCTGTTTTAAAAAAAATAAAAAGACATGAATAGACATGAAAAGGCAAAAACAGTGGGATTTTCGTTTTAACCAGAAATCAATTAAAATTTTTGTATACCAAACTTTATATAAAGATGATTCTCAACTATGTTATGAAAGATATTTTTAAAAAACATTTTTTCTTTATGCAAAATGTGTGTAAAATGGCCATGGTTTAGAGCATAAGAAAAATTTTGAAAAATAAATTTTTTGGAAAATGATATTTTATTCATATGTTATGCCATGTCCTCTGTAGAGGACATCGGGACTTTAAAAAGTCCTGTTTTAAAAAAAATAAAAAGACATGAATAGACATGAAAAGGCAAAAACAGTGGGATTTTCGTTTTAACCAGAAATCAATTAAAATTTTTGTATACCAAACTTTATATAAAGATGATTCTCAACTATGTTATGAAAGATATTTTTAAAAAACATTTTTTCTTTATGCAAAATGTGTGTAAAATGGCCATTAACGAGTTTTTCCATTATACGTATACAATGTATCTATAAACTGTATCTAATTTGCATATTAATGTGTTTTTGGGGCAACATAGAATGAACAAATAAGTGCAATAATGGGAGTAATAATTAGCAAGATTTTCATAATAATATCTAATATTTAATAGGAATATTGATAGGAATATTGATATAATGTTTTCTCTATTCATTTGTTGTGTCTCCCAAAATGTGTAATAAACATGCTTTAAGTCCTGGTGTCCTCTACAGTGGACATGTATGAAATCGACGTCCTGTTTCATAACAGAAGGTCATATTTTGATTTGAAACCCCATAACATTTTCCTGAGATGTTGATTTATGACAAACAATTTGTCAGATTTAAATGATAATTACAAAATATTATCATATTTCCATTAGGGTGTTACATTTGATCACTAAATGAATGTCAGCCATTTTTAAAGACCAAAGAGAGGGAGTGGTCATGGTGAAACATCCAATCATTTATTATCTCTGGAAAGCCCTGAATGTGCTCTGTTTAGATTTAAAACTGTGACATGTAACGTCTCAAAGAAATCGCTAAAACATAATATCCTTTACAGTGGACAAAACTCCATAGCTGGTAGTCAGGAGGCTATTGACATCTATTGTATGGGGGAAAAAAACAATCAAAAATATCGAAATATGTATATTTATGTACCACAGAAGAAATAACATAAGGGGGAGTTAATGATGGCAGAATTTTCATTTTGGGGTGAACCTTCCCTTTAAACAACTGTTTTCAACATCAATAATTATAAAATAAAAATATTTTTCTTGCGCACCAAATCAGCATATTGGAATGATTTCTGAATGATAATGTGACACTGAAGATTGGAGTAATGATGCTGAAAATTCAGCTTTGCCATCTCGGGAATAAATTACATTTTAAAATGTATTAAAATGGAAACAGTTACTTTAAATTGTAATAATATTTCACAATTTCGCAGTTTTTCCTGTATTTTTAATCAAATAAATGCAGGCTTAATGAGCATAAGAAACTTCTTTCCAGAATATAGAAAAACCCTAAACGTTTGAACAGTAGTGAATATGTGTTTTCAGAATATGCACTAAGAATGCATTTATTGTTGAATTAAAATAATATCTTTCCAGGTGACCCCAGTCTAAGAGGTAGTAATGGCATCCCACCACGCTGTGTATACCTTGAGGAAGTGGCTGCTGATCTTGATGGCCAGGACTGGCTTAACATGGACACCATAGAACAGGTACAACATGTTAATGTGTCATTCTTTTCCAGTTATGCATAATATCAGATAAGTTGTATGCACACATATATTGTGAACTTTGAATAAGAATAATATTCTTTATTTGCTCCTCCAGGCTTTGTTCAGCAGGCTGCTTTTGCAGGAGCTGGGAAACCATCTCATTTACATGACCTCCTGCAGTGTAGTGAATCTCTCCGCAGATCGTGATGCAGGAGAGAAACGTGCCATACCGTACCTTTACGCTTGCTACCGTAGAGCTAAAGAGGAGGTATTTTCTGCAGACTCTATACTTTGTCGGCCTGTTCGGTTGTGCCAAAAGAATGAAATGTGGCTGCTTGTTGCACTGTTTATTCGCTTTATTGCATTGTTTGTGCTTAATGCAATGTGTTAATGTTCTTCAAATCAACACAGATCACTAAAGTCCCAGAAAAGCTGTTATCGTATGCAGTGCACTGCAAAAATTTGACTGTGTCCAATGCCCGCACTGTTCTGCTGACCCCAGAGATCTACATCAGTCAGAACGTGTATGAACAGCTTCTGGACCTGTTGCTGGAGGCTGTGAGAGGAGCACGTAAGTGTCACATTTGTGGTCATATGATACGTTTGAAGGTCCTGAACCAATTCCCTGTGTTTGACTTTGTTTGTGTTGTGATCTCTGCAGAGTTTGAGGAAGTTATGGAGTTTTTGGAGGAGGTTATAGCTAGTCTGTTGGCTGACCAAGAAGTGCGTACCTTCGGGGAGGTTATGGCGCCAGTGTTTGATATTTTCCAAGGCCGGGTCAAAGACTTAGACCTTTGTCAGCTGCTGCTCTATTCCTACCTGGAAATTCTTCTGTACTTCAGTCGGCAAAAGGATATTTCTAAGGTTCGGATCCAATGCTCATTAATGCTAATGTCATTGCAGTTTCTTTCATATAGATCAAACATTTTTTGGATGATAATATTCTGAACCTAGGTTTTAATGGAGCATATTCAGCCCAAAGATCCTAACAGTGGGATTCAGTATCAGAAAACGCTTCTGGGAGCAATCCTGAATATTTCTTGTCTGTTGAAAACCCCTGGTGTGGTTGAAAACCATGGCTTTTTCCTCAATCCTTCTCGTTCCAGCCCACAGGAAATGAAGGTTCAAGAGTCAAATATACACCAGGTGGGCACAAAATTTTGATCTTGATGACATGAAGCCAGCCACTTATTCCCTTTCATTTCTTGTCTTCCCCTATGCTAGTTTATGGGGCAGTTTCATGATAAGCTGTATCAGATCCTGAAAAACTTGCTTCAGCAGTCCAGCGAGACACGCCACCTGCTGCTCTCGTGGCTGGGTGGCTGCCTGCAGGCCAACATGGGGCGGGCAAAAATCTGGGCAAACCAGATGCCCGAGATATTCTTCCAAATGTTCGCTTCGGATGCATTCTTCTTAAATCTGGGCGCTGCACTGCTCAAGCTCTGCCAACCGTTTTCTCGACCCTACTCGCCCAAACTCCTGACCTTTAACCCCACGTACTGCTTGCTTAAGGAGCTGAGTGAGGAAGAGCGGCGTAACAGAAACGTGCACGCAAGAGGTGACTGGCCTGTGCTTCACCTACCAGACACTACCTTTCATTTCTCTTCCGAAATAACAATCTAAACTCAAAAATATACCTCCCCCTACAGGTCTGGACAAGGAGACATGTCTGATACCTGTACCCCCTCAACAAACGGTTGAATTTGCCCAATCATACAGCCTTCTCACAGAAAATCTCATCCTTACACAGCTTACCCTGTACCTGGGCTTCCATAGGTAATACTTCATTACGAAAGAGTCATGACACTCATATATTTAAGTATATACAGTGGGTACGGAAAGTATTCAGACCCCCTTACATTTTTCACTCTTTGTTATATTGCAGCCATTTGCTAAAATCATTTAAGTTAATTTTTTTTCCTCATTAATGTACACACAGCACCCCATATTGACAGAAAAACATAGAATTGTTGACATTTTTGCAGATTTATTAAAAAAGAAAAATTGAAATATCACATGGTCCTAAGTATTCAGACCCTTTGCTCAGTATTTAGTAGAAGCACCCTTTTGATGTAATACAGCCATGAGTCTTTTTGGGAAAGATGCAACAAGTTTTTCACACCTGGATTTGGGGATCCTCTGCCATTCCTCCTTGCAGATCCTCTCCAGTTCTGTCAGGTTGGATGGTAAACGTTGGTGGACAGCCATTTTTTGGTCTCTCCAGAGATGCTCAATTGGGTTTAAGTCAGGGCTCTGGCTGGGCCATTCCTAATCAAGTCCAATCAGTATAATTAAACACAGCTGGACTCAAATGAAGGCTTAGAACCATCTCAGGGATGATCAGAAGAAATGGACAGCATCTGAGTTAAATATATGAGTGTCACAGCAAAGGGTCTGAATTCTTAGGACCATGTGATATTTCAGTTTTTCTTTTTTAATAAATCTGCAAAAATGTCAACAATTCTGTGTTTTTCTGTCAATATGGGGTGCTGTGTGTACATTAATGAGGAAAAAAAATTAACTTAAATGATTTTAGCAAATGGCTGCAATATAACAAAGAGTGAAAAATTTAAGGGGGTCTGAATACTTTCCGTACCCACTGTATATGCATTTATTTGATCAAAAATACAGTAATATGAAATAACTGTTTTCTTTTTAAATATATTTTAAAATGTCATTTACTCCTGTGATGGCAAAGCTGAATTTTCAGCAGCAATTACTCCAGTCTTCAGTGTCACATGATCCTTCAGAAATCATTCTAATATTCTGATTTGGTGATTAAGAAATATTTCTTATTATTATCAGTGTTGAAAACAGTTGTGCTGTTTATATTTTTGTGAAAATGAATAGAAACCTCAAAAGAAGAGCATTTATTTGAAATAGAAATCTATTGTAACAATATAAATGTCTTTACCATCTCAATTTAATGATCAATTTAATGTATTCTTGCTCAGTATTCATATCTTAAAAAAAAAAAACTCACAAGTTATCAGTTTGAATCAGTCTGCCAAAATATTTGCTGCCTGAACTCTCTAAAGGCTTTGTCAGAATAGCTACTGAATTAACATGCAAGTTAAATATTTAAAACATGAAAATATGTACAAAAATAGTATTATTGTTTGTTTTAATGTATGTAGTTATGACCAGTTATGGGGGTGTAGTGATGAACCCAGCTGCATTATGTGGGAAGCACTGATTTGCAGAAAAATAAACATATGCTTTAATGGTATTTGTTTGTCAGACTTCATGATCAGATGGTGAAGATGAATCAGTCTCTACACCGGCTGCAGGGGACGTGGCGGGACACGCAGCTCAGTGGAGGCGCAGCAGCAGCAGAGCTACGGGAACAGTTTGAACGCCTCATGACAGTCTATCTCTCAACCAAGGCTGCTACCACGCAGCTCGCCATGCTACAAAGCTGCCTCAACCTCCAAGCCTCCTGTGCCGCCCTGCTGGTTCAGCTCAGCCTGGGCAACCAGGGGTCTGAGCACATCCCTCTCATCTTTCCTTTACCTGCACTAGAGAACAGCCTGCTATGCTTTGTGCCAGGTATCCCCCTAAGTTTTTGTGTTCCTTTTCAGTAAACAAGCTCGTTTCCACCACCGAATTAAAAATAAATAAATAAAAAAGCAATTATGACAATTATGAGTTTATATATCATAATTCTGACTTTTTTTCTTGTTAACTCACAGTTGAGAGTTTATACCTTGGAATTGTGAGGGAAAAAGTCAGAATTGTAAGATAAAAAGTCGCAATTGTGACTTTATCTTTTATTCTGTGGCGGAAACAAAAAATGTGAGGTGTAAACAGAATTCACAAGAAAAAAAGAGGCAAAATTGTGATAAAAAAAAATGCATGGAAAAAGTTTGGATTGTGAGATAAAACGTCACAATTTCCGGTTTTATTTATATACCTAAGTGGGCTGCAATTTTTCAAAAACCCAATCTCTTGACTCTTTCACAGAATTCTTTGCCGAAAACATGGGCGATTTCTTCATATTCCTCCGCCGCTTTGCTGACAAGGTGTTGGAGTCCTCGGCGGAAAGCTTAGAACATGTCCTGACCTTCATCACTGTGTTCATGGGCAACGTTGATAGGTGTGAGCCGGAGTAATGCTGAGTTTCTCGCGCTTTTTTTTTTTTTTCATTCCATGTGGCTTGTTGTTTACTCTAGGTTATTTACTCACAGAATGAAGAATCCTCATTTGCGGGCAAAGCTGGCAGAGGTTCTTGAAGCTGTGATGCCCCATATGGAGACTCTGTCACCTGGCGCTGTCCAGCCTATCATGTTCCAGCGCCAAAGGGTGTTCAACACATATCGGCATGCACCCCAACTTGCTGAAGCCCTCATTACAGTGTTTGTGGATATAGAGTTCACTGGTCAGTTTCTGGAGTTTATTTCTGTTGTTAATTTGATTGTAACATCCTATATTAGATTTTGTCAATGGCTTGTTTCTCAGGTGATCCTCATCAGTTTGAGCAGAAGTTTAATTACAGACGACCAATGTATGCCATTCTGAAGTACATGTGGGGAGAAGAGAGCTACAGGGAGAGCATTAAGGTGAGAACCAGACAGATGTTTTAATATTATAAATAATATTTAGGTTGCTTTGAAATTTTGTTCATCCCTTGCTCGCAATTTCACACAAAAAACATTTGTTTCCTCACAGCGTCTTGCCGATTATGCATCTGAAAATCTTGAAGCCATGAATCCACCACTCTTCCTGAGGTTTCTCAATCTCCTCATGAATGATGCCATCTTCTTACTTGACGAGGCTATACAGGTACTTGTCTGCCTGGGCAGATTGCTTTTGTTTTATGCAAATCCCAACTATTTATACTGGTAACACATTTTGTTTGTTCAATTTAGCTTGGTTGTTCAATTACATTAACATATTAACCTCTAAGTAGTGGATATCAGGAATATTTAATTGGCTGATTAAAGATGTGACACTCACACGTGCATCTGTTCCTTCCAGTATTTAAGTAAGATCAAAATCCTCCAGCTGGAGAGGGATCGGGGGGAGTGGGACAGTCTGGCCCCTGACGCCCGCAGAGAGAAAGAATCTAGTCTGCAGATGTTTGGACAGCTGGGTCGCTTCCACAACATCATGTCAAATGAGACCATTGGCACCTTGGCTTTCCTCACATCTGGTAAGAAACGTGAAAGAAACCAAATGCACTAAAATATTAACACCACAGATTTTTATTTATTTTTTTGGGTCATAAACTATCTGACCAATTTAGACCTGAACAGAAGGGTTTTAAATAATTATTGGGTGAAACACTTGGCTTTAAGTGTACAAAGTGACACTAAAACTCAGACTTTATGTACTTTTCATTTTCCCCTTCCAGAGATAAAAGGTCTTTTTGTTCATCCCTTTCTTGCTGAGAGGATCATCTCCATGCTCAACTACTTTTTACAGCACCTGGTAGGCCCCAAGATGGGCGCCCTAAAGGTGAAAGACTTCAGTGAATTCGACTTCAAACCCCAGCAGCTAGTGTCGGACATCTGTACTATTTACCTAAACCTGGGGTAGGCTCTTTGATTACATATTATTCCTAAAAAAATAAAGAAATATTAACTGTTATGGATGCTGTTTTGGCCACAGAGATGAAGAAAATTTCTGCGCCACTGTCCCAAAAGATGGAAGGTCATATTCACCCACTCTGTTCTGCCAAACTGTCCGCGTACTCAAGAAAATCAACAAGCCTGGCGACATGATTGTATCTTTCAGTCTTTTAGCAGATAAAATTAAGGTTAATTTAATCACTATGCATATTTATCTTAGATACACAGCTTTCGCAGGAAGTCATGGGTATTTAAATATTAAGTGGTAACCTTGTTGATCTTCTGTGTCTCTTTCAGTCACTTGCAGACAGGCATCAGCAAGAAGAGGAGACCTTCTCTGATGCTCCGGATGAATTTCTGGATCCCATCATGTCTACGTTGATGCTTGATCCGGTGCTGCTACCTTCTTCGAACGTTACAGTGGACCGTACAACAATAGCACGACACTTACTAAGGTGAGACGTGTATCAGGTTTATTATAGTAAACTAAAACTAAAATTAAACCCAATAAAAAACATTTTCATTACTTAAAATAAATGTTAACTGAAAATGAATTAGCTGAAACTATTTCAGCTAGCTTTGTTATTTTATTTTAGTTAATTTATTAATTTTATTTACTTGATGTACTAAAATAGCTAAAACTGAAATAAAAATTTATAAAAACTATATATACGTATTAAACACAACAAAATTACTGAAACTTTAAAATTAAAACAAAATGTATATATGTATAAAAAAAATTTTTATACTTGTTATTTTGGATACTGGGTATTATTTATATACTATTATAGTATTTATTAACTTTTTGAATTAAGTTTTATATTTTAATTTTAGTTTAAGTTTTAGTGATTTTGTTATGCACATTTGTAATTTTTTTTAGTTTTTGGTTTTGTAAATAATTCTATATATATCTTTAATTTTTATTTATTTAATTTTAGTACTTAAACTTATTTTAGCTGCCAAGGCAACATTTTCACATTTTTTTGTAAGGTTTTTCATCTAATGTTTATATTTTATTTTATTTTATTTCAGCTTTACGGAAAACAATTTTAATAGTTTTAGTTACCAGTAACGGCACTGTTATTTGATTAGGTAAAAGTTTTAAAAGCAGTGTTGGTTTTGTCTTTTTTGTTCTAGTGACCAGACAGACCCTTTCAACCGCAGTCCGCTCACCATGGACCAGATCAGGCCCAATGAAGAGCTCAGGCAACAGATCATGAAGTGGCTTGCTGATCATAAGCAAAGCAACCAGCAAATGGGACCCAGTGGCTAAACCGCATCACTCCCTTGAGTCCCTTCCCCCAGCACCCAGGCATGCTCTGTATGACTAAGCCATTCAGATGTTTCTGGCCTCTCTCATACCGCTTTGAAACAAGAACATTTAACCACATTCGGAGGAGCACGCCTGCATTCATGCTGTTAATGTGCTCCTCAAAGGTCAAATGCAGATCTCCAGTGAGATGCCATATCACTGTAGCATATTCGGCTATCTGTTCTTTCAAACTCCCCAGAGGTCTGAGGTCTCCGCAGACAGAACTCAATAACCGGAGTCACTTTTTCTGTTACATTTTGCCTTGCAAAGATGTTCACTGTGGGAAATGAAACTCGGGCTTATAGACAGATGACAGCATACATGAGGTTTGCTTACCCAACCCTCTACGGACACCTTGGCAATTGAATCGCCATTGGCTAGTAAATTTTTTAGTTTACTTGCCAGAAACGCACTAAGGATTAATGAGCTGCTGGATTTATGAATATTAATAAGGTTGTGTGCGTTCGCTCGAACTGATTTGCTGAAATCAAATGGATAATAAGTGTGTATGAATTATCTAATTATTATAAAACAGCGATTTTATCCTCTCGTTGCTGGAAAATATAATGTAGCGATTCAGTATTTAAACTTAATAAAAGTCGTGGGGCAGCGTTGACAAGTTTCTTTTCTCCTGGATGTGTGAGCTGAGCGATCTCTGATATGTGTGTGTGTGTGTGTGTGTCAGTAAGCAGCGCATTAATATAGAACGGTAATTAAAGACTAATGCACACACCAGTATAGGTGTGTGTATTGTAGGAGCTAGATGACGTATGATGACGTGTGACGGCATAGTAGTGGTGTCCCAATTCTTAGGGGAATATTTTCACCCCTACCCCTTGACACTCTGTTACAAGGGGTAGGGGAAGGGAAAGGGGTATAAAATAGAATTGGGATTGGGCCTTAGTCGCATATGCGAGTGATTTACTCGCAATGTAGAGGGTTGTTACCTGTTCAATTTATTTGCCCTACCTCTGACTCATATGCATGCAATATTTTATATGCATCGCTTATTTGTTAACTTTTTAAGTTAGAATATAAGCAGCGTACCTCATTTGATACTAAGGAGGAAGAGTTGTGGCCTCATTTGTATTGATTAAAATATCAAAGCAAACCAATGTTGGCTGCAAAAGAAATTAAACTATCACAAAATATTTTGCTAACATCAGCATTATATACCACAGAGTTTCCATTTTTAAATTTGTACCTATTGGTTTTAAAGGCATCTGTGTTCCATAACGCAGCAGTAACACGTCGGATTCTTCGTGGAATGGTCGGTAGCTTTACCATTTGTCAAAATGCTTTTGTTATTACAGACATTTTATGCTTGAAGCTCAAGAAGCATTTGCTGTAATATGCACTTTTATGAGACTCATTAAGAATATTGAGCTCTTGTTGAAATGTTAAGAAATACCCCTGCACACTTTACAAGAATCCATTGTGTCTTTTAACAGTGCAATATGTCCTGAGTAATGACCTCTTTGACTTCTGAGTCAGCCTTATGACCTCCTCTCATGCAGTGATATCATGTCTCTTGTTCACAGTTGCAAAACGGCATGCTCTGGTTGGATGGACCTTGCTACTGACATTTGTCTTAAAAGATGACATTGATAAGATACTGTCCAATCACTGCTTTTGGTTGTGAGAGAGTTGCATTAGATTGACCTGTCAAGTGGTGTAGGGTATGTCTGCATTTTGATTTTCACTGAATTATTTAGTTGAGTGTTAGTTGGTTTTAAGTCTGAAATTCTTTATTCCCTCATATTTTCAAGACCTCAATCAATAAACCTGACCCCATGAATTCTCAAAGCAAACTGAATGCTTTAAAGCCTGTTGTGATATTTCTGTCTGTTAGAATAACAGCATGCTTTCTTGATGTTAATTTTATTTTTGTTGGCAACTTTTTTTAAATTGTATATTAAATGTGCTAATGGATTTATTGCACAATATAGGATAAAACAAATCGATGTATTGTAATTAAAATTTCTAAAATGAAAAGCAGTGATGTGTAAATGTTTTTAATCTTTTTAAAAGTTTTTGTAAATATTAAGTCAAAAGCTTCCATGGATTTATTGTAATTTTGTGTTTGTTTAGAATTCACTATACATAGGCTATATGTGTGTTGAGAGATTCAAGCTTGGAAATTTGAAATTTCATAAGATTTCTTAAAGATGCAGTCTAATTTTTTTATTTTTTTGGTTAAAAATGATCTAAAATCAATGATTGAGGAAGTAAATAACCAATCAGTGTTCAAAACTATCTCCTTAACTTAGCCCGATAACGGTAAGCTTATAATAATGTTTTCTCATTTCAGTGGTTCAGGTCGGTTTCAGTGGGAAAAACGAGTTTGCCGCCGTTCCTCTTTGCATCATTGCGTCACGTCTGAAAGAAGGACATAAAGAAGCAGTCCCGGCTAATGTCGGCGCCGATGGCCTTGTGGGGCGTTGCGCTTCAGGCGTCCCGAGTTCGAGTCCTGGCTCGCGGACTTTTCCCGATCCCACCCCCATCTCTCTCACCCACTTCGCTTCCTGTCGACCTACTGTCCTTTCTAAATTAAAAGGCATAAAACGCCAAAAATAAATCTGGAATAATTAAACTTATTAAACGGTGCATGATGGTAATGAAACACATGTAAGTGACTGAAATTAAATTATATTCCAGTTTTAAATGAGCATCTGATTACAGTAAGATTAGAATGAATTTACAAAAGAGTTTTATTTCAAAGAGAATGAGTTCTAATGAACATAAATTGCTTTTGGAGGTTAAAATAAAATTTTTTTGATGAAATTCGAATGGTATGACAATTAGAGATTAGACTGTACAGAAATTAAGTTATAGATAACGCTAATACACACTAGTAGTCACGCAATGTTGATGTTGTTAACATGAGCAATTTGAAAACAAAGTATAACAATTTGCAGGGTTTGACATAATCTGAGCTAACTTCGCGACTATTAGATTTAATTACCACTGGTAGCGCAATTTATTGTAATTTTTTTTTTTTTTTTGGTTGGGTTCGGTTGATCAGAACAAAACTGGCAGACATGTTACTTATTTGTTGATATGACATTTTCTGGTGAAACTTCTTATTTTTGGGCATACTTCCAAGATGTCGCATCTGTAATTCTGAAGTACAGAATATCCACACTCTGGTGCGACTGACAACTAACATTAGTCAACTTTACCTAAAAATGCAACCTCTCTGTCTCTAGGTCGCTGTACAAACGTTGCTTAATTGCTTCAACCAATGGCGTGAGCTCAGGGCGGGACTACCTGTTTCCCTGACAAATAGTAGATGGGGGCGTGTTCAAAGAAACCTGTGCGAAAACAGTCACTATTTTTGCAATTCCATTTATTGACAGTAGGGGTGCAGAAATTACACATGCAATTTAATGCAATTTCTAAAAATTAAAAATACAGAGGAAAAACGGTTAAATATAAAAAATTAAATTAGCAAATGTTAAAAACTTAACTATTAAATATAATTAAGTTCTTATAGACTTAAATATGAAGAATATATGAAAAGTGTTCAATTTCGCTAAGCAGTCTTCCTGTGTCTGATGTACAGTTTTTCCCCCCTCCTTTGAGTATCGCCGACGAACCTGCGTAAAAACATCACTGAGCCTGCTCTGCGCTGGGATCTTGTCGGGGTCTTCGGTACCTCCACCCCGAAACATGGATAATCCATTCTGACCGCTAGACCAGAGCGGCCGTGTGCGGAGATCGCTCGTTCGGGGCTACGCCCACACTGAGCTCCTGATCCTAGGGCAGGCAGGCAGAGTGTAAAATGGCGCACAGCTGTCGGTGGCGGTTCCCTGCTCGGCCCGGAGGGAGCAGCAGCTCGGGCACCGGGAGGAAAGCGGGCCGAATTCGAGTCAATGCTTCCCTCCGAAACAGCGCGGGCACTAATCCGAACGCGAACGGGCTCGGGCCCGGTTTCGACGCTGCGTTGCAAGTGTCCGCTGCCATCGGCAGCAACCTGCAGAAATTTCGGGATGTTTTGGGGGAGTCGAGCGGCTCCAGCAGCGGGGAGGTAAGCGGGACCCTAGCTAAAGCGTTAGCCTCATTCATGATCAATGCAGGAATTAGAAATAACTCCGCGGCTGTGTAGCAGCTCTAAGTTGCTCAGTGAGGAGAGTGAGTGTTCTAGTTATTTTGCTGCGCAGCAGACACATGCCTCCATCCATGTGCTGTTTTTCTCACTATGGGACTACTGACAGGCTAAACTGCTAGCTAGCCCACATCAAAACATGTACCTATTCCTAACTAATGGCTGATGTTGCTGTGCTTCTGCGGTCTGATGTCTATGTTGAGGCGTTCTAGCATCATATTTCGGGACCCCGAGGAGTTTAGTGCCATTTTTTGACAGGATGGAGATGTGAAGCTAGATAACTGATGGCTGCTTTGGGTTGAACTTGCTTCAATTTGGTTCGGAGTCTCGTGCGTTTCATGTGACACCGCTTTTTGACTTTAAACACTATGAAAGCACTTTTTCAGCTAAAAAGCGCAGAAAATGCCCTGCTTAATGCACAGCTTGTCAAAAATGAGGTCCAAAAGAGTTTAAAGATAGATAAAGGATGAAGTTTAAAGATATTTAGCACCTTTCAGTTGTTCTGACCATTTTAAATAGCATTTTTCGCCCATAAGAGATTAAATTATACCTTTTGATGACTCTATATTAGACTTCCAAGTTAACTCACCGTGTTTCTTTCACCTAAAGACAACTTGGTTCAAAAGCCTGGTAGTGTATAATGAAACTTTACACTCTCGTAGAGAAATAAACAGTTTAGAGTGTTTCAGTAAGCACAAACGAGCAGATTTTAGCAGGACTGAACACCTGGTGCCAGTTGGTTGTTGTTGTCTGAGCATTTAGCCATAGCACGCAGAGTGCATCTATCCCAGCTGTAGTCTGTTTGGATTCATTTTAAAGTATTGACCTAACGTTATATGAAAGCGTAGATTGAGTTTAGAAGATGTAATGCTCTGCTCCTAAAACTATTGTGGCCGTGCATGTGTGCACTTCTGATATTATTTTGTCCAGTTATACACTGCCCTCTAGCTTGGGTTGAGAAATTGATGATACTAGTAGCATAAACAATGTTGCTATTAAAATACGCAGCCTGGTGTGTTTTTGTTGCGGAGAATGGGGCGTATATTATTTACAAATTGCTCGTTCTGTTGCAAAAGTTTGCAGTGTGTAATTGTAAACCTCTCGTGTTTGATTTCATTCACCCTCGAGAGGAGGCTGGCTAACGTGTTAGCCTGTTAGCACCCGCTGATGCACGGGAAAATGGGAGGTGGACATGTTTTTTTCCCTCTCAGATATTGCGTAGTAGCAGTATGCATGCGAAAAAAAAATCATATTTCTATCAGGAATCAAGTGATTCCTGTGCAAAACCTCGCTGAGGCTACAGGGGGCCATATGTTTAGTCAAAGACGCCAATTGCAGTGTTTTGAGCGGTGCAAAAGGCGGCTGCAATAAAAAGGCAGCGTTTGACGGAGGTTGTTATGTGTGGGGGTGTGTACTGTGACAAACTACCATCTTCCTTTCTCAGTAGTAGAGCGCTGCGCATCGGAAACGCGGGGAGGTCGAAACGAGAGCGGGCGCGAACCAGAAACATGCAAATAGCGTTCTTGATTTTGTGTTTCGCCTACGGGTAATTTAGCGTTTGAAAACGTGGCGCAGATTTAAGAGCGTGGAGATGTGATTTTAGACATGATGTCTTGAGGTGTTTTATATTTATGTCTATTTATATATGTACGTATATACAGTATACTCATTTTATTCGCTCCTCTGTCTTATAAGGTTACGATAAGAAATTTTATTCTTATTGCTTTAGTTGGTTTTGTTTACATAAGTCATGGTAAATCACTCTTTAGGCAACCTTGTTCTGCCATACTTTTTTTTTTGTCATTGAATATCCTTCATTCATAAATATGCCCCAGCATAGAAGTAAAAGGGTTTGCAAATTACAATGTATGTTGACTTTAAGAAATGATTTTAAAAACATCAACCAAAGCTTGCATTATTGTGTGCATTTTTTAGCAGTTCGGTGTGCTTTAATGCACCCTTGGAGCCTTTTTGAATAGCGCTCAATTAAAACACGAATACATTTGTGAAACATATAAGTAGTGTATAAGCCAGACAGACTGCTAAAATCACAGCGGAGCTTGCTGCTCATGCGAGTTGCGGACACAGCATTGTAGTTTCATTCAGAGGGGATGTTGTGCCTGGGTAGGATTGTTCTGGTTCATCGCAGCCCGCTGAGCTCACAGTGCAGCCTAAGGCCAGTAGCCTGCTCAGTAAACAGAAGCATGCCACCCCTCCTTCCCATCAGACCCAAATCCAACAGCACGGGCCCACAGGGCCCCAATAGTTTTTCACTTCTGATGGCTGCCTTTTAGACTACTTCATTAACGGTTGTGGAAAACTGGAAGCTAACAATAAATTGAATTGTCTACCTAGTAGATTGTGTTTTATTAACGTCTACACCTACCCCAACCCTAAACCTACCCCTTACAAGAATGCAAAAATAGTAACTATTGTTGTACAGTGTGAGAAAAATAATGCTATATTGATGTGCGCATGCCCAGTAGGTTTTGCTGTATGCCTTCTAGCCTTAACCTTCATTAACCCATTTGGATGGCTTAAAATGTTTACATAGAGTTAATACGTCTGCGTGATTGATTTCTTGCGGCTCCAGAAAGCGAAGCTTTTGATGTTCAGAATCACTTTCGAGATATTTTTATCTAAAGCTAAAGTGCAAATACGAGTCTGTGGCTGCTTGCTAGACAACTGTTACTTTTAGGAGGTGTCCTGTTTAAGTCTCCATTCATCGGTTTCTTTGTGCGGGACGCCATTTGGCTTGCCTTTTAATGTCCAGAGTAAAGCCCCGCTTAGAGAAGCAGAATGAGGATCAATATCAAGGCCTCATACAAAAGTGCAGTTGAATGGATACAGCAAATGAATGCTTTGCACCGCTGCTTTCTAATGAATGGCGTGGCCTATACGGAGGGAAGAAGTCCAGCAGGTGTTTGGCCTATTTATCTGAAGAAGGCCCTGTCCCCTAGACAGCGTGTGGATCATAGCAGGAAGCTTTGTGTCTGCTTTTATTCCAGCCTTTACGAAGTGCAGGCAGCTGAAAGAGCACAGACGTGGATATCAAAGGGTGAAGAGCAAGCCCTCCTCCCCCTGGGACAGCGCTGGGAGGGAATTAGACACAGGACGTCCCATCCATGGCTTTATTCTGCTTTTGTAGGCGGGCAGAGGGGGTTTCTCCTCCCGGTTTTTGCTCCGAGGGGGGGCAGCAACAGCCATTGAGCGCATGGAGCAATTCTCTCCGAATTTACGTCCCTCATTTCACCTCACAGGATGTGCATCTTTGTTTTTATCTTAAAGCCACGGCTCCTTTTTAGCGTGGGTGTGAGGTGTTGGAACATGTTGTTTCAGAAACTCTCAGTTTTGGGTGCTTTGAATGTGGGTGCATGAGCAACATCAGAGCATTAGATCTGCATCTTACGAAGGGAAATTTCTCCTGATGCCTTTTGTGTTATAAAAGTGTTTCAAGAGACTCGAATAATCGAACTACCGGGGTTCCCCATCAGTTTCCTCTTGTTTACTGTGGGGGTTTCAAACAAGCTAAAAGATTTCTCATGTGTGACCACGCAAAGTGTTCTTTTTCCGGTCAGATGACCAGACAGGTTTCTTTTGTTGATAGGTTTGTCCATTTTGGCTGTAAGCTGAGAGTGCCATCAGTCTGACCCCATTTTTAATGTTTTATGCATTGCGTTTTGTATCTGTATCTTTTATACAGGCATTTTTGAGGGAATCTGATGCCTCAGCAGTTGTCAAAACTTCACATTGTTTAGAAAATGGTGATTCAGTGAATTTCTGAAAGGCAGCACTATCACATATCCCCGGGCTTAGAGATGATAATCAGTTACATGTCTTGATGTGGATATGTTGGCTTACTGTGATTATAGGGGTGTGAGTGTGTGTGTGTTTGGTATAGTTGGCCACACACACAGTAGTGCAATTATGTCCCGCTCTGGGGAGGGAGAGTTGCCAGGTTGCAGTGTGCTTGCCAGTTTATGCCCAGTTCTTAAGCGAACTGTAGATGCCATGTTGAGCAACTTTCCTGGGTTTGTGACCATCTGCTCAGAACAGGATGTAATGAGTTTATGTAAACAAATAGTCTTGTTTGCTTACCTTTTATTTACGGGAACTGAGAGGTGGCACAAACAAGAACTTTATCTGCTCTTTTTGGAAAGGAGGATGTTGATTTGTAATCCTGTCCTGTCCCTATTGGGAGTGTTCACATGTTTGGGGTTTGATGATCAGCCTTTTCACCAATCAATCATCCGTTCTTAAAACTCATTGCACAGTTGCCCTATAAATATTTAAAATGTCAAACCAAGCAGCATCTGCAAATATATGATTGTAGAACTTTCCTCAAAAGTAAGTATTTACTTTTAGCTTTTACAACTGGTCTTTTAGTTCAGAGGATTTTAGTGACTTTTATTTTGAAAAACATTTATTATTTATTTCCAAATAGCAATTCTATATTTATTATTTGTGTTGTTGTTATTATTAATATTATTATGCTAAAAGTGCATTTTCTTTTTACATTTTTTACAATTTTACATTTTTCAAAACAAAGTTCTTTATTATTCATTATTTTTAAAGCCTATAAAAATATAGCACTATTCTATTATTATTATTATTATTACTATTATTATTATTTTACTTTTTTTTTTTAAGTTTTATTTTTCTTAAAGTGCTGTTTCCATAAACAAATAAATATGCTGTTCAAAATCAGGGCGCCACTAAGGGAGGGAAAGTTAGGACGATTCTAAGGGCCCACACACTTTTGGGGCCCCCAGAGATATGATTTATTAGGTTCAGTTTTTAATTAATGATTTTTATTTCGATAAAAAATCAAAACAACGGTGGGGGTCGGTGATGCGGTGGGCAAGTGACGTAACGGGTTTTGCGGCTTAACACCGGTATAACCGTTAGCACCGTCTATCGCG